GAAACTATTTTATAAAATTTTTTTGTTTTTATTCGCCCAATATTTTTTGCCTTTAGTTTCTGATTTAAATATTTAATTCTAAAAAACATCCCGCACTTATAAAAAAATGATTTAATGTTTTCTTGCAAATTTATTTTTAAAATGTAAGATCTCTTTCCCGTTTAAGTTGTTAAAAATTGCTGATATCATGTATGGGCCCTTCAACAGATGATATCGTCACTTCTGAACTTTCATATGCTTCAGGCAGTTCAGGCACAGGAACCTCCCAGGGCAAGGGAACAATACCTGGGTATAAACGCATGCGCTTAAAAATATTTGCCTGAAATGGGCCTGTAATAAAACCGCGTTGAAATGATTTTCACAGACACGGGAAGAATTTTCCAATTGAACACCGCAGCTGTTCTCCCAACAAAGTCTTCTAACTTCGCAACTAGGCGCCTTAAAGTTTCGCTCCATTTTAACGCCTTGGCTCTTGCCACAGACAGCGCAACGCTCGTAGTTCCTGCTCGTTTTCATTTTTGCATATCTAACGGCTGAACCGATTTCAATTCTGTAAAAAGTACTTTTTTGGATGTTCTGTGTGGAAGGTTTTTCGAAAAAAAAAAATCGAAACTTTTTGTTGTTGCCAGAAAATTAAAAAAGGTGAGACGTCACGCTTTTACAATTTGTTGTTGTTGTTGTTGTAGCGGCTACAACAACCCCTCCCAGATCGGTTGACATCTCAGTCGTTGTCGTCAAGTTCCACTAACGGCAGCCCTAGGAAGCGTGCAGCCTCTGTCGGGTCGGTCCACAGGGACAAAGCCGTTAGGGTTGTCGCGTTTTCCGGGCATGCGAAGAGATGTTTCGAGTCATGTGGGGTCTCTCCGCATGCCGAACACTCATTTGGCACATATGCATTCAGTCTGCTCAGGTATGAGTTTAACCTGCTGCAGTAGCCGGAGCGAAGTTGGGCTATGGTTGTTCGTGTCTCCCGAGGCAGATGAAGCTCCGTCTCGTCTATGTCTTGTGGTGGTGTGCCTAGAACGGCATTCACAGGTCTAGAGTCTACATAACTCGAGACTGACTCCCTGTGAATGCCGTTCAGGGCCAGTCGGTGAGCTGACGGGTCCAGAGGCTGCTTGATGAACCTCTGGACTTCGTCCGTCAGTTCGTATAGACGCCTCCTGACGTGCCTAGGCGAGGGCTCCTCTGCAAGCATCAGTCTGTTTGGGTGGCCACTTCTGTGGCTCCCGATCAGGAACTGCTTGCAGAGCATTATGTTGTGCTCCTTTATTGGGAGCATTTGTGCCTCGTTGTGGCGGTGATGTTCTGGCGACATCAGGAGGCATCCTATCGCTGTCCTGAGCGCGGTGTTTTGTTCAGTCTGTAGCTTCGTCCACTACGTCTTACTAGTCCCCGGCGACCACACTGGTGCTGCGTAGTTTAAAACTTTTACAATTTCGTAGAGTTTTCCGTATATTGTATGTCACTAAACTACCAAATGGATAGACCGATTCCCACGACAGCCGGTTCTACGTACCGGAATGACTCGGGTTTTACCCGACCAAGGGCTGTTGTTTCGGCGATCTAACGCCGTTTAGGTCGGCGAAGTATCAGAAGTTGTTCGTCCATAGGCCACATTCGCTACGTTTTCTCCTAGTTAGGGCTGGCATCAAACCCAGGGCTAGAAACCTACACCTGCTGTGTATGCCAGAGACGACTCCACCTCTGTCAAGTGCAATGCCTGCGAGGGGTGGAGTCACATCAGAGTCTGCTCAGGATTACGGACACATCGGCAGTGGACCACGTCTTTCGTGGCCCCCTGTTGCTCTAACAGAGCAGCCTCCACGACTAGCCCCGGTCCACCTGAGCAGTCCCACACAAACACCACAGCACAACAACATAACACAATAGACCACACCACAACGGCTACAGACCACAGAACACACACAACCACACCACCACGCACACGCCGCCGCCAACAACTGGTTCCTCCTACAATCTGCACGGTATGTCAGACCAGGATATTCCGTAATGTGACATCAGTCAAGTGCAACACCTGCCTTGGCTGGAGCCACTTTAGGCCATGCTCAGGTCTGCGCACCATTCGAGATTGGACGAGGAACTTTAGATAGTTGGGCGTACGAGTACACTCCTATTGCCTCGTATGGAGATACTGTTGAAAACGCTACTCACAGATTTCAACGAAAAATCGATCAGTTTGGCCATGAATGCTCAAACCTAAACCTCACATTCAATCCAACAAAAACCAAGATTCTATTTGTTAGTAAAGGCAGCTCCAAACAAATAAACATAAACTATAATAATGTTCGAATAGAACAGTCAAACTCAATAAAATTTCTAGGAAGAAACATTAGTTCGTCACTCACGGTCACAGAACATTACAACAATGTCATTAAAGAATCTGCAAACAACTCCAAACTGTTCAAACAACCCAAGGTTGCGACCCAATTCTATAAGGCGTTTGTTCGGTCCAAAATTGAGTACTGCAGAACCTCCACAGCCAATAGCAGCAATACCACCAACAAAAAAATCAGAACATTTCAGAACAGTTTTTTGAGAAGAGCACTAGGATTAACCCCAGCCACGCCAATTCCAACCTTATATGCAGTTGCAAACGAACTATCACCCCTGGAGAGAGCCAAATGGCTCACTGCCAAGGAAATAACCAAAATATTAGCATCTGACAACCCCTTCAGACTGTCCATTATCAATAACCCCAACATTAATACCAGCTACAGCAAAGTATATGCTGAATTCAAAGCCTTACTTGATCGCCTTGGTGTGGCTGAGCATGAGCCCCTTCCACAAAATCTCATTGTCAAAACCAACATGTTACCTAATAGCAAACAAAATACGCCCCGAGAATGATATACAAACAAACCGTAAGTCATTATATAAATAGCAACTTCAAAATATTTTTCACAGATGCATCTGTACAAGACAACAAATTATATAAAAACTATAGGGTTGCTAGAAAAAAGGGTAATATTTTTGAAATCAGGGGGGTCGTGTTCTACTCCCTCTCATCCCCACTTTTTCTAGATCTACTCCCTCTCATCCCCACTTTTTCTAGAATTTGCCGTCCGGTTACTAAAATTTTTCCATATTTCACATTTTTCGGCTTTTTTTTCTAAGTCCTCTTTTACGAAAACATTTAAACAAGAAAATTAAAAAAGTTACATTTAGGAAAATTCGGAGGGACAATATTATAATAGAAAGCCATGCTTATGTTGATAAAATTGTTCAGGCGAAAATAGAATAAAACAATAAAGGTTAAGGTGGTAATTTACAAACAGTTACGCCTTTTTTCATTGTTTCTTTGCTTAAAGCGGGGACAAATATTTTTATATGAAGTAGGTAAAATATACCAAAGAAATACCGTTCGCAAAAGAAAATAAAACGGCTTACACTAAAAAAAAACATTGTTAGTGGCAAATTATTTGGTTCGTATAGTGGTGTTTTTAATATGTCTTTTTACCGCCATAAAAAATTTAAAAAGGGGGGAACAAAAAATAAGCACTTCGTTTGGAAATGACCCGCTTACATATCAACCACTTTTCCCCTGCCGAATAAACTGTAAGTGCAACTATTCGCTTCGATTTTGCTGTTCTCAAGCTTAATTCTATACATTTAATAAAGTTGTAAAAGACCGATGGCTGTACATTATAGATTTTAAAGGAAAAATTAATATATGAGGTCTTTATTAGAGCAACAGAAGCCAAATCAACAGGTTTTAGAAATTTTGTCAGTCTGTCTGTTGGTATGTTTGCAATGTATGAAATTGAATGCACTTCTCAGCGCTAGAGGTCCAATTTAAAATATTAAATATTAGAGAGGCCATTATTGTAAATTCGTGTTAAAGCAAATTGATAAGATAAAGTAAATGTTGAAGTATGGCTGTCAAAGGAAAGAGGTTAAAGATAGCCTACTGCCATACCTACACAAAAGCGTTGGGCCGAGCGTTTTCTGACGCCTAGCGTTAACGCCGGAGTGCAACAAACAACAACAACAAAAGCGGCAACGCTACGTCAAATGAAGAAATAACACCAACAATAAGCATATGTTTGTTTGTGTAAACTACGACAGTTTCGCCGTTTTCTGCAGCCAACTTCACTTCCTAACGCCCTGTCAAAATCGGATTTTCTACCCTTTAAGCGTTGACACCGCGTTATTTCGGTATGCTTCATACAATTTGTATGGGCATGTGAATTTTTTGACAGCCAGACAATGCTCACGCTTTTGTTTAGAGATGGCTGTTACACCCGAAAAT